CCCCAAAACCCCAAAACCCCAAAACCCCAAAACCCCTTGGAAGTGCAATCTATTGACAACATCCCAATTAAATAATATTCCTAATGGTAGCTAAGCAAGATTCAGATAGCCAAAAATCAGGACTATTGGTCTTTAAAAGCAACTAGGAAGCACCTCCGTGGTACCAGAACATCTTCTGAGAGGGATGGCATAAACCTTGACGATTTCAGACCCTTTTTTGTACAATTTTTACTCATTTGTTGAGCAATAAACTTGCCAATTCCTGGTCAACTATTATATTTTGAATCTATTTAAGAGATCATCTCACTCAAGACATAATTAGAGAGAGTGAATCTTGAGTCAGAATACACTGAGCTTACAGTCTTTGTCTGATTTTTATCCGCCGCAACAAAAATTAAGAATGTGGTCATCAAAAGATTCTTTATAAATTCCTCTTAAAACATTCCAAATATTAACAATTTCCGTGAGAGAAGATAGTGGTCATATCCTATTCTATTTCTCAAAATCAAAATAAGTCAAGAGTATAATTTGCCAAGCCAGCCCTCCTCCATGGTCTTGATTTGATAGCTTTCTATAATGCTCCATCAAGTTCCAGAAAGGTTACAGTCTTTATCTCAGAGGGTGGAGAAGTCATTAACTAGAGGAATCAGAGGATCTTCATAATCGTGCTTTCCAAGGAATTTAGAAATTAATAAAATTATTGATAAACATTCACGTCTAAAAAATATTCAAATTTCTTCTAAATATTTCAGAGGATGTCCCCGAGTGAAATAAGTGCATGCTGGGCTTGGAGGACAAGTAGTATGCCTAAATCAACTTGATCGCTAATCAAATTTCTATATTACCAAGTCCCCAATATAACTGCTCTTTAGCACTTTTTGTCACTAGAGGCAGATCTCAGCTCATAGTTTTTACACCTATACGATAAATTCTCTTCAAACTTTCAGCTGTGAGGGGTTATTGTAGAAAACATTTGGCATTATATCAAATCAAGTTTGGAATTCTTTCAGTAGCCGAGTTTTACTACTCATTGTAGGATTATAATATTACCCCACCTTTTGGGTTTAAGGGTCTCTTGGCTATCAAAAGAGAGATAGATGCAAACAAAAATTACCCTGTTTTTATAAGCCTGAAAGTGGCCTTCCCCCAGATTTTGTAACGCTTTCTAAGTACCACTTCAACTTTCAGTAATCAAAGAAAATTTCGAAATTCTCGGCTAATGAAAACTCATTGATAAATCGAAAAATCATGATTATCAATGATTGATGTGACAGGTCAGCAGAGGTATAGCCCTCTGGAATAATTAATACAACATTCGAAATTCTCCTATCAAGCCATAACATAGCTAATTCAGGAGGTTAATGGCTAAGAAATTTTCTGAAAAGTGAATGTAACCTACCTTCATTTTTAACCTATCCTTTCTTATAAATCTGACTTGCTGCCGTAACAAGTCAGGACATTGTGATTTGGAAGTCCCATTTGCAACAGAAGTATCTAAACTAGCACCAAAAGTATCTACCGAAGATTTAGCATTGTTTCCTTAAAAATCTGGTTTATCTCAAACCTTTATTAACCGAAATTTCAGAAGTAAAAAGTTTATAATCACTCGTGCATAAAATAAGCAGCAGGAAATGACCTAAAATTGATCGCAAATTCTACTCAAGCGGTTGAATATTCACCTTAAAGAGTTATGAGGGAAAAATCAGGCTCTAAGCGCACCCTGGTTAGGAGCCAGCCCCCTGCCTCCTTGGTAAAAGATGTTTTTTAGAATTTAAATTTTATCCAAGAATTATTCACTGCCTTCATAAGTCCTCATAAAGTTTTAATATGAAAATTTCAAATCAGGCAAAACTTTATGAAATTCCGAGTTAGAGCCATTATTAATTCTCAAGTCCAAAGATCTCTGTTGTGGCTCCAAATGAGAGCATCTGCAAGTCTCAAGTGCAGTATCCTACCTCTGACAAGTACTCTGAGAGGCCAGAAGCGGCTGGACTTAGGTCATAGCTTGTTGTAAGATCCTGAATTGGCGCTGAGCTCATTGGAAAGGGAAGACTGTGAAGATCCCTCTGATGGTTTGATAACTTCATGCTATATCCCTGGTGCATAACATTCATCCCTTGTTCAAATTTCTTCTATACCACTGTTAATTTTTCGACACTTTGTGGAGGATGAGGTCCTTCAAATTTTAATTAATAACATTGGAAAAATAGCATCATTTATAAAGCCTTATCTGATTTACGAGAGCATGATGATTGACTAGGAACACCAAAAGTCCAGATTTCAATAACTAAAAAGCCTAAAGTTTAAGAAATAGCTTTCGAAGAAAATTATTGTCCAAGTTAGTTCCTAATCTTACCAAGATGCCCTTGGCTAAGTTTGAACACTAAGGCTCAGAAAGTTATAATTACCGTACAAATTTCAAAATAATTCAGAAATATAAAGTTAAAACGCAAACATTCTCATAATAGCAAATATAAGTATCCCAATAAATTGAGATCCAGTTTCTTGCTGGAACAAATAGGTTTGAATTCTTCAAAAATGCGAAAGAAACATCAGATTGATGAGGCTCCTATACGATCTCTATAACTGCTTGAAGCATAAGACTTGATTAGCCCACTCACTTAGCCTATAATCTCTGAATATGTCATCAGAGAGCGGCCAAGTTGTGATTGATTAGGCAAAACGTTATTAAGTAATCTCCAACACATGTTGGTGTAATAGATCTTATTTGGCTCGATATCCAGGACACAAAATGGATCCAAGCCTTATCTATAATGAGAGGGAAAGGATAGAAATAGACATTTTGGTTCAGACTCTCTTCTGAATTACTTTAAAATAGCAGATTCGTATTATTCCATCTGCCACATTTATCGAAGATATGTATATAACTTTGTCAAAAATTCGAAGAATGTTTCCACCGATCAAAATATATAGCTGGGATAGTTTCCCTGCATGCACTAAGACTCTCAACTGTATGTTTTAGAGGAGTCCCTGAGCATTGAAGTCATCATGATTGACAAAGATCATGAAGGGATAATAACTGAGATTTAAAACATTACCTTCTGTACCTGTCGGTTGAAATTTTGATTATGCTTCTTCAAATAATCCTCCCTTGTAATTTTAAGACGTCTCTAAAGAGGTCATTTCAAGCACTCACCTTCCTAGTGTTTGTGCACCAGATGCGGATCTGCTTCTCCATCAGACCAGTTTGCATACTAAGCTGCTCCAGTTGCTCCTGAGTAGGATAAGGGAAATCAATATTTTGGTTAATCCACTGGTTAAGCACCCTCAAACACTCTGATGAAAAATTTTCTTTCTTTGTATATTTTCTTGGTTCTAAAAGAGTCAGCACAAATAACTTACTTTTTGTAGTTTTGCAGATTTTGACATTTTGATTCATATATTGGCCGCTATATCAATTCGTCATAAAAAATTAAGTCAAAAGGCATTCCAGTTGACCAAAAAGCCTTTATGAAAATGAAAAGTATCCAAACTGTGAGGGAATTCAGCTGATATTTTCGTAAACTGACCTAGCTCTGGATCCCATAAGAGGAAGAAATCAGCCATGGATATGCAAGTATATGGTATAGTAAGAACAAGATCCTTGAAATTTTGATTATTCCATAAATAGGACTGTTTACTTCTCACGTGAGAAAGATATAATTTTCATGCCAAAAGGTGGAAAAGTCACGACTCTATTATATTGAGAATGTTTATAACTTCATGATTATATATTTCTTGTCGACAAATCCAATAATAACATGCTTTGTAAACTGAATGTACATTATATTAAAATTCTTTCAGAACAAAATAATATTAACTCAAACTCTTTTAATGACTGAACCTTGCCAAAGTTATCACAGGTTAACTAACTGAGTCACTTTGTTATACCCTTGTGAAGGTAGATGACCAGCCATAAAATTTGCCTTTAATGAACTGAGTTGTGATAATAATCCGCAAAAACGCCAAATTGATGAGAATTATGCCTAAAATTCTATTCGAAATGATCAAATGAAAGCTTTCATTCTAAAGTCCCTTAAAATCATGGGAAGGATCTTTTCTCAAATCTATGGGAACACCACAAAACTTCTCGGCATTTCCAATGAATAGGGAGTTGGCTTAATGAAATTTTCATTCCCATGACCTCCAGTTTAATCCAAGTGAGACACTTACAGTTGACCTGTAGAATTCTGGATATTGAAGTCGCCTGCTATCCCACTATTTCAAAGATCCTGGTCTTGATGTAGCTTTCTAAAAATCATTAGCTTTTATTTTATTTATTATTCCTCGATCAACCCGACTATAAAGTGTTGGGGTTTTGGGGTTTTGGGGTTTTGGGGTTTTGGGG